CATTAAATAAAACTAGTGCTTTCATGTTTAATTTTCCATAAAATTAGAGCTATATAATCTTTCAAATTGGCATCAAAGATTATCATATTAGGTATTCTCTTCTTTCACATTAAATAAACAAAATAATATAAATAATACAGTATCTTAAATTAGATTTCTTTAAATGCCATTTCTTTTGAAAAATAAAACTAAAGAAATTTACTTTGTTAACAGAAAATCAAAATTTTAAAGATAGACAGACATGCTTTTATTGTTTAATAAATATTTAAACTGAATATAAAAATAACAGTGAATGTAAATTAACTTCTAATCCAGTTAAAAACAGAATTTTAAAACTAACTAAACAATTATATAAATAACTAAGGTTAATTGAAAAACTAATTGAGTTTGGATAGTTTGTTAATGATTTAAAAAAAAATTAAAAATTTCAAGTCAATGAATTTTTTATAATGTTGTTAAAAACAACAAATAATCATTTGTAAAATATTAAAAAATTACTTATAATTGAATTTTAATAGAGCAAAATTTAATCAAATTAAAATATAAGTTCTTGAATATTTTGATATGAACTATTACATAAAATATGAAGTCAATTAAATACACTTTATAATCTTCAGAACAATGAACATATTAAATAAATTTAATTATTAACATTTTAATAGTTTATAATTGGTTAGAAAGAGCTTCAATCCATATAGTAAAAATACTTTTCATAAAGCTGAATATTTTAAAAAGTAAACATTATTTCATATCTGTTTCAAGAACTATTTGTCGTCAGATGGAATTTAACTTTTGTTATAATAATAATACTGTATACAATTATATAATTTTAAGTTGTATTAATCTGACATTAATCTAAACATATAAAATTACTTGTCCTGACTGAGTGATTGACTGATTCATCATCGCCCAGAGCAAACCGCTGAACCTAAAGAGGTGAAATTTTGTACACAGTTAGGGTACGTCATGAAAATGCACACTAAGAAGGGATTTTTGGAAATTCCCCCACGTGGGGAGAGGGAGAGGATTAAGGCTTAACCTGAAGAATGGCTTCTACTGTACTATTTTAGATGTGATTTTTTGTTTTCAACTATATTTAGTTTTAATTGAGTACTTAGGTGTATTAAATTGATAATATTTCAGACATTCTTATAAATATTTTTATATATTTTGACTTTTTAACCAAATGTTTGAACCGTTTTAAATTTGAATTTGTTATTGCATATTGGTTCAATTATAGAACAATTGTAAATGTTCCAGAAAATTGATCAAATTGAAAATAGTTTGTTTCATTCTCAGCAATTCTCATCATTCTCAGCGGTAGGTGTTAGCCTATATAACAATTACTATGGTTGCTGAAATACTGAATATAAATGGGGTTTGCTTGCAAAACCCCTGCGGGTGAAGTTGCAGGTAACAGCTAGTGTATTATAAATAACTTTTGTCAAACAAACAATAGATATTCTAAAACAAATTTGTTTAATAAAGAACTTGATTTCAAATCATGTTTAGAATATTAAGAGAAAGTTTATTAGAAATAATGAAAACAACTATTACTTATTGCTTTACTGAAGAATATAGAGAGTGAGTCAGGAATAAGTTTTCACAGGAGAGCACTGTTGGGAAGTGCACCACTTAGGAACTTGTGTTATGCAGCAAATGTGTGACAGTAATCCTTTCCTTTTTTTTTTTGTTTGTTTTTTGTTTTATGTATGCTCTTTTGTCTAACTCTCTATAATTCTGATCTTGGGTAAGCTTGTCTGTACCTGCTTGTCTGTACTACTTAAACTCTGGGTGTACCCTTTGCTAACCAATTGGGAAGGACTGGTCAGGCGAGTTTTTGAGGTAGCTCAAGAGATGGAGGTAGAAGAAATGGACATTTTTGGACGAGAGATGAGCCAGATCAGATGTGAGTTCCTTCTCTTAAGAAGAGAAAAGAACTCTGTGGTCCAGTGAAGAAAAGTTGAAGAAAAGTACGTGGCATCAAGATCTTCAAAGAATAACTGACACGTAGAGAACGAAGACAAGGGAGAGAGAACAAGATAAATAAAATTGTGTGAGGAGATTCTATTTTACTGCTTGGCATTCTAAACTGGAGTGCCTTTTCTAGTGTCTATAACTCTCTGACTATAGGACATTTCTACCCATTGCCATCCAGGACTTTTCTAACAATATTGTCTATGTCGCCATCTACCAGTAACAGTTGATTTTGTACTAGCTCTAGGATTGGTAATAATATTTAATTTTGGTTTAATATTAATGCATGGCATAAGGTTAAATATTAATAATATGATTGTGTATGTTGGTTTTGAGTTTGTTACTCACAATTATTAAGTCTGGTCCCAAGTGACTTGTTGCATTATTGTTCAGTTGAAGTTCTCATTGGCTAATATCCTGGGTCTTGTGGAGTTTATTTGTATGTGTTTTGTTTTTTTTTTTTAATAAACTTCTTGTACTTTGTTAACAAAGGTGACTTATTTCCTTGTCCATGATCCACTACAAACTAACTCAATTTCTCTCAGATGTAAGTGGAATTTTTTTTGAATAAATATAAAAACTGTTGTGAAAAAATAATTCAAACAACAAAAGTTATTAAAAATATTTTTAATACTTCTCACAAATAAATTAGTCTTTGACTTACAATCATAAAATAAACATCTAAATGAGTAAATAAAACTAAAACTTAAAAATGGATAGAATATTTACATAAACAACAAATCTAAGTGTTTAAAGCAGTGATGAGCAACCTTTCCTGATGTGGGCAACAAGTAAACTTCATAGGTTTTCAGAAGACCTCATATGTTTTCTTACAGAGTTGCAGACTGTTGTATTTCAACATATTCCATAATTGTTAGTACATGAATACTAAAATAATATATGCTAATGATATGCAAACAAGTAATATATAGTTTATTCTCATCTTTTCACTGGTCAAGTTTAGTTTGAATGTTCTTTGTCACAAATATCTGTTTAATTAGGATTGCATAATAATATGAAGCAAAAAATAGAATATCAAAATTATTTTGCCAAAGCCCTGAAGGCTGCATGCAGCCCACAGGCTGTCGGTTGTTCATACTGCTTTAAAGCATGACACTAGATCAGTTACAAAAAATGATCAAGCTAAAGTCTGTTCACAAAGACACAGTGGTATGACCTTTGTTCAGATGAGTGGGTTATTTGCTCATAGTATCAGACGAAATCTCAGGATTGTAAGGTTTCCTTTGATAAAAAAAAAAAGTCAATAAATTGATTTACAGAAATTCCTGCCAAGAATTACTAATTTTACTTGGAAAGATTACTAATTTTAATTGGAAATGCCCTGTGTTTGTGTATGTGTGTGTGTGTGTGTGTGTGTGTGTGTGTGTGTGTGCGCGCGCACACGCTTATCTGAATTCTCTGAAATTTTCCTCAAACCAAATTCAATAGTTATGCCAATTAAATATGAGCATTCAGATAAGGAGTCATGGCAGTGACTCCCTGCCAAGTAAAAAACTCACTGACTGCCTATATATACAGGAATCAGAGTTGCCAATTTTCAGGAGTTGATTTCTTGCCCTCCCCAAACACCCAAAGTAATTTTGAATATCTCATTAAAAAAAATTTTTTTTCTTAGGTAATGTGCAAAATTTTCTATAAAGCAGTTGCTGAAATACAAGCAATTGAAAAATGCAAAAATTTCCAAAAAAGCTGTATTTTCTACTTCTCCTTCATCTGGCACTGCAGACACTTGTAGAGAAAAAAACTACTGGGTCTAGAAAGATGAAATTTTAAACGTAAGCCTTTCTCATTATCAGTGAGGTGCACGCCAAACTTCCAGGTCGACAGGTCAAAGTTCATAGGTGCTAATTCAGTTTTACAGCTTAATTTTAATTTTATGCTTAAAAAGAAACAATTTTACAGAAATAAATGAATTTTATTCAAAATGTTACTTAGAATTATAAAAGCTGAAATTTATGTAAATTAAAACTTTTTATATAGATTTTTCTAAACAGCATATCAAAACCGTCAGTCAGCGGCACATTAGATTGGCAGCGCACTGGTCAACAATGCATTTGATCAATGCTGACTGAATGAATATTGAAAGCATTCAGTTGGCAGTGCATTTGGTGCGCAACACATCCAGTCTGCAGTGGCTGACTGTCAACCGATCATAGGTCTTGACATAAAATATTACAATTATTAAACAAAAACAATTGATATCGAAACAAAAACATCTGAGATTTAAAATAATTTTGCCAATTAAAAATTAATGACAATTTAGACAATGGTCAAAACTTTTCTTAGCAGTTTTTCTTTGGTAAAGATAAGCTTGGCACTTGGAAGTGATACCCACAAGATTTTTACCTGCATTTACCTTATATTTCTCCTCCAAGCACCAAGCTTATCTTTACCAAAGAAAAACTGCTAAGGAAAATTTTGACTGTCATCTAAATTGTCATAAATTTTATTTAGCAAAAGCTTTTTACATCTCAGATGTTTTTGTTTGGATAAAAAGTGGCCTCATGAAAGAAAAATATCTGGTTAATAAAGTAGGATTTTTAATGATCTTGTCTGTAAATATTATATACAACTTCACTCTTCTATCAATATTGTCCTCAGCCACTCCTCAAAATTTGTGAAACTTGTAGAGATTTATGATGCAGACAATGTAAATCTGACTCAACCTAGGCAACTGAATACATATATTGTAGAGATTTTGCTGCGATGGCAACACGAACAGTCACCTGAACATCTTTGTTATAGAATGTCAATTTGGTTTATTTAAATTAACTCACACTTTCAGTTTCACAAAACTTCTGATAAATTTTTAAGATCACAGTGTAGGAATGCTTCAGTCAGTTCAGATAAGTTTCACAAAATGCTTTAAACGTACACTATGTACTATTGTTTTCTTTAGCCTCCTTCAGCAATAGTAAATACCATTTTTAATTTTAAAGCCTCTCTAGACAGCTAATCATTGTCATTAACTTACATGAAAATTCACTATTGGTAAATCTTACCCTAATGTTTAAATCAGCTCTGTACTCCCATAGATGATTTACAAAATGCAACCTAGAATTAAAATAAAAATAAAATTTACTACAATGAATATTGAAGCTTTGTACTGTAATGAGAACTAATGTTAAAGACCATTAGATGCAACAAAATTAGAAAAATTTCTTAAGTGACTAAAAAATTTGACAGGCTTATAAAAATAAAGCAATAACAGTGCCAATGACAGAAATTTTGTTCACCTGGGCATCTCCCAGAATACCCCTACAGTTCTGTTGTGGATTCTTATTCTTGGCTCAACCTATATCTGAACATCTGAAACTCATTTTTTTTTAAAGGATTTTGGATTTAAATGTTCTTAAAACCCATTTATGCTGAAGCAAAGAATCCAAAAACACTATATTTGAATAAAAAGCTCTGAAAATTGAATATACATATAAAAAATGTTTAGATAAATTCTATACAGTATATTCATTCATCCCCAATAAAGCAACAAATAAAAAATTAAAATACTGCCATATTTTGAAAAATTTTAATAAACAAATAAATATCATTTACATTAATCTAATAAATAGTGATCTAGATCAGAATTTGAACTTGAAATTTCTTGATTTTCTTCTACTTAATTTTAAAATATTTTTATAGTCAAGCTATCTAAATAACTGTTTTAGATATATTGATTTGATTTGAAACTAAATTTTTTAGATATATGAAGTTAGACCATTAACTATTATTATAGATCCTATTATTTCCTAGCAAGGGAAATTAATGGAATAGAATAACACAATACAAAATAATACTAATAAAGCATATGTTTTTCATGAATAATCAATAATACTGTAGAAGTTAAAACTGCATGATTCAGAATTACAAAATGCATATAAAATGTAAAGTAATATTTCTATATTTGGAAATAACCCAATAAGATAGTGGAAAGTTTTGTGGTAACATGTATAATAAAAAACTAGCCAAATAATAGAAACATATCAATAGTCATTTTGCAGTGTAAGTTTTCTATTTAAAATAATAAATGATCCAATAATCACTAATTCATACAGTTTATTATATTTATGATAACCAATATTTTTTTCTATTTTGTTTCATGTTATGTTAAATTTTGTGTTTAAATTCCATTAGTGACAGTATAAACAATAACATAATTGTTTACATTTTACATATATTTTCACATAAGGAAAAACTAGCCACTATGGTTACTCAGATGAATCAATCAATGCATCTTTAACAATGCATTGATTAATTCAGCAGAGTAACCACAGTGCTTATTAATATGGTAACAATGGTCAAGAAATATAAGATCATAACTATCCATGCCTGAAGATAGCTTATTAACCATTTCAAAAACATTAGCATTATTTAAACTTCATTCACTGTTAAATGTGGATCGATTCAGCTTATAAAGTATGTCAAAATATTATAGAAAAAAAGGTTTATTGCTGATATTTAAAAAACAGTTGCATCTATTGTAACAAAACATTTAGTAAATGATCATTACAGTATTATGAATTGATTCAATAATTCAACAATTACATTCAGATTGTTTTAGATATTCAACAATAATAAGAATTTACATGTCAAATAATTATAGAAAAAAACAATCCTCTTTGGATTTGATATCAAGTTTTCCCCTAAATCTTGTGCATTCTAGTGGCAAAAGCTGCATATCAAAAATAAAGTAATTAACCACCAAATTTAAAACCATTAGTTTTGATTTAACTGTTTAACCAAGTTTTATGTTCTGTTGATGAGTGATCAGTTTGGCTTGAAAACACGAGCTCAGTGAAGAATAAGTGTGCTGTATTCTTAAATTATGGGCTTATGGAAAGAAATATCAAAGGAAACAGGTTGATCATTAAAAGTAATCCACAAATTAGTGACAGATCTAGAGAATTGTGGGAAACAAAAATGACCAGGGCCTGGATTCACCAATACAGTAGAGCCTTGATTATCCGACCCCCGATTAACCGACACCTCGGTTAACCAACTGTCCTAGTTGGCAAATTTCAAATGTCCGCTAGTGATGTGGAGCTACAATATTTGGCTATGTCTTGGCTACTTTAAAATTATTTTTACTTGTTTTAGCTGGCAACACTCATTCAACCATGAAAGGGAGCCAGTATTTAAACGAGGTTTAATTTTCTAATTTTTAACGATATAATAGCGACGATTATTATTTTAAAAAATTTTTGTTAGGCTTAACATCGATGAAAATTCAACGCAAAGTAGGTTAATAGCAATATACTAATATACTAATTACATGGGATATAATAATATACTACACTAATAATGGATTTTTTCATACTTTTCGGTTATCCGACTTTTCAATTATCCGACCAACCCCAGTCCCCAATTGGGTCGGATAATCGAGGCTCTACTGTACTGTACCTTGTATCGTAACTTATGACAAAATTCATTGTAAGTTGCCAGATGCAAAAAGTCTTGTATTCACAAAGCACATTGTATGCTACGATATTGTAAAAAGTCTCATAACTACTATGATTTCTAAGACTTCTCTTAAGTCTAGGTACTGGTGGTCAAGTATTTGATTCTGTTGATAGATAATCAATTTGATCATTTTTTCTGATTATTTCTTCTAAACTTTTCTGATGATTTGAAACTTTTAAGATGTTATCAAATGATGAAAAAATTTATAGAATTCTTCACAGTGGAATTAAAACTGTTTATAAAATGTTATCCAAAAAAATCTTATTCATTATAATTTAATGTTATTTTTTTTTTAGTCAAAAAACTATTAGTTTGTCAATTTATTTCAAACTTCGATATTTTTATTAATATAACTACAGTATCAATTTTTGGTAGATTTAGTTCTACACCTAGTGCGATTACATTTTTAGGTATTGTTAAGAAATTTTAAATTACCATGCTGTACAATTTAAAAAAAAAATTTGTCCAAGTTATGAAAAGTCTGAGTTGGCAGGTCCAAGTCAATAGTTAGTAGGAGTTTACTGTACTAATGATTTTTTTTTAAACTTCTTACTTTTAATGCCTTTATAAGAAAATAACTACAATAATGACTCTAAATTAAGAAGTTAAAATTTTAAGTTTTTATTTTATTTATTTTTTTTAGAATTTTATTCTATTTTTATTATTTTTATTAGACTATCCATTTTTAAAAATTAAAAGATTTCAATTATTAGCTTTTATACTTATAATAAAAATAAAATTATTGAAATTTAATGTTTTATGTAGTTTTTTATTTTATTTTAACTTATAGATATGATTATTAATTTTTCATTAATAAAAATTGATATTCTTAACTTTAAACTACAGTATCTTTCATACAACAAGGCACTTCTACAGCACAGTTTCAGAATTCAGGAAATTGTCTGTACAAAATTTCAGTTAAGTGCAAAGTCCATTATTCAAGTAAGCATACTTGTCATCTCAAATTTGCTCATGGATTTTACAATATTGAAAGTTTCAATTTGTTTTGTGCCTTTCATCAGGTTTACTTTAATGAAAACTGATACTACAATTTTTCTCTTCCTTGTCCTAGCTTTCTTATCAACCAGGTATTGTTGATGTTGCTTTCAGACATTAGCATTTATTAAGACTGTCACCGTGTTTTGGTTTTTTACATTAATATTCATATTTAGTAAAGTTTACAGTATTTAAACATTTTTAGGTGTTATTAACTTTTTTAACCATAGATAAATAATCATTCGTAAAAATGACAAAAAATACAGCAATGTCTCATACTCAAACTATACACAACTTGAACAATTTGGTATTCGAACACAAATTCTGGATAAAAATTGCTAGATACTCAACTGAACAAATGAGAGCCCTATAAAACAAATTTTCGATTAATAACATTTTTATTTTGTCATCCATAAAAATTTTTTATGATAAAAATAAGAAAAATGAAGATGTTTCTGACCAAAATCAATAAAAAACAATCAGATGACAATACTTTCTAAAAAGAAAACACCCTCATTTATCTAAAATTAATATTCACATGTCAAACAATATTTTTAATTGTTATCGTTAGTTAATTATTGATTGTTTTAATAAACATATTTTTCTTAGTAACAAAAAAGAACAGTAAATTTTTTTAACTTTTGGAATCTAACCCTATGTTTTGCATTAATCCTTTGTTTTGTATAGCATGGATTCACATAAACAGCATTTTTTTTAGAATGTAACTACTGTGTTATACGAGAGATACCTGTACTTTTTTGATTCAGTTCATTAGTAATCGTCATCTATTAAAAGTAATTTTAACAGTTACTTAATAATTAATATAAAAAAAAATTAAATCTTCTAATAAATGCATTTACTATTTTACTTAAATTTGTTTCTTATGAAAATTATTTCAGTGTATCAAAAAGTAAAAACATTTGAATAAATTAATTTTAAAAATTAATGAAGTTATTAAAATGTAAAAATTCAATAAATTCAACTAATTCTTAATAATGAATTTTATCATATTCATTTTGTTATAAATTTTTGGAATTTCTTTTTTGATAGATAAATACAAAATTATTGCTTTACTGATTTCTTCAATTTGAAAGTTTATCATTTTTATAATGATTTTCATTATTTTTATTTTATTATTATTGCCGAATAAAAATTAATTTTATTATATTTTCCCTATTATATAACTACTTTTATACAATGTAAAATTAATTTTAAATTTCATTTTATTTCTTATAAAATAGATTTTTTATTAATTCAAACAACAAAATCCATTTTCTAAAACCTTATTTCTTATTAAGACACATTCTAATTAAATAAAAACAATTTAAGCAAATTTTTCTTTGATATAATATACATAACTTAATCAGTTTTTATTAACAAATACACTTTTTTTTACAGCTTTATAATAATAAAAACTAAAAAATATTAATAAAAATATTAATTCAAAACTACAATAAACATATCAGATACAACCAGTTTTTGGTATATCAGAATTCAATATACAGTTATCAACTAATAATTTAATTACCTGATTATTTTGATACAATTTCTCATTAAATTTAGAAAAAACTTATAATGCTGTTTATATAAACATTCCCCTTAAACTTTAAATAAAATAAAATAAAATAGATATATATTTAACTTATTGACTCAATAGGTTAGTAATTCAAAATTTTTGCTGATTCATAAGTTACATAATTTTTTTTATATAAAACATGAGTAATATATTTTTTTTTAATCAATAAGCTCTGCAACCTATTTCAAACAAAGTGAAATTGAATCATGCAATAAGCATTTATGTTTTCAATAAAATCTAAAATGGAAACAGTATGAATAATGATAGTTATCATCATTATTATTACTACTACTACTACTACTACTGATAATTAAATAAATAGTGTTCATCTAAGAAATGTTTAATATATTTTAAATAACAATAACCATAAATGTTTAAATTACAAGTGTAAATAACATAATTCAATTAACTCTTAAACTCATATAATTTTTAATTTTTTTGAATATTTAAATATTTGGAATTAAAACTAATTTAAAACATATTAAATAAAATCACTAATAATTGGAATTTTTATTTTCAAATGTAAAAGCAAAACTATTCTAATAATATAATATATTAACTTAATTTTCTAATAAAATTACCAAAATCAATTTAAAGTTTAGAATTTTGAATGCTGCATTTAAAAATAAACCTAGTTGCATACATAAATACTACATTTTCCTAATTTCAGTTATTGAAGACAATTATGTATTAATAGAATTATAAAAAAAAAAAAAATTATTGTNTGTTTTTGTCTTTAACTAATGTTAAAGACCATTAGATGCAACAAAATTAGAAAAATTTCTTAAGTGACTAAAAAATTTGACAGGCTTATAAAAATAAAGCAATAACAGTGCCAATGACAGAAATTTTGTTCACCTGGGCATCTCCCAGAATACCCCTACAGTTCTGTTGTGGATTCTTATTCTTGGCTCAACCTATATCTGAACATCTGAAACTCATTTTTTTTTAAAGGATTTTGGATTTAAATGTTCTTAAAACCCATTTATGCTGAAGCAAAGAATCCAAAAACACTATATTTGAATAAAAAGCTCTGAAAATTGAATATACATATAAAAAATGTTTAGATAAATTCTATACAGTATATTCATTCATCCCCAATAAAGCAACAAATAAAAAATTAAAATACTGCCATATTTTGAAAAATTTTAATAAATTTATACTTATTATTAATATTAAAAAATATTTTAAATTTCTAAATAAAAAAATAAATATCTTTTTAGAAATTATACTTTATTATAAATCTGTGTTTAGATTTGGAACACACTTGATCCCTGTATTCTAAGATACCTGATGATGTCCTACACATTGTCATTTACTATTAAAATATAGTTTATCAATAAAATAAAATTACTTTTATGTTCTCTAAGTTACTTTAGCTGTTTATTCTGCAAATATTGAAATAGAATCAACAATTTACCACAGATGGTAGTCATCACAGTACATATATTATACAGAAACCCTTTCTTTTAATTCTTTTAGATGACACTTAGAAGGCCTCTTATTAAGGTAGGTTTGGCCAGATCCAGAACAAAACAGCTGGACGGCAAGAGATAGGGCCCGACATACGACTATTAGAATAGCATCCGAAAATCATTTAATAATTTTCAGACACAACTTCTGTCTGTTATACCGGACAATAAAAGTGTAAAGATTCCCATGTTGTATCATTTTTCAGAGAAACTTAAGTTTTTTCTTTGTATCAAGTTTGACAAGTTTTTTTTTTCAGATTTTCACCCACTTATCCAAAATGAATGCAGTGTGTTGAATGGCTTATTGAAGCAAATCAGATACACAAATACAACAAAACAACATTTGGAATATTGACTGAATGTTTTGTGAATCACTAATTGTGCATGTATCAAATAATATGGTAAAATAAATCTATTTATTTTTAATATATACACAGATTATGCTACAGAATATGAAATTTTACCTTTTAAAAAACTTCCTGATTCAACAGATGATTAATTTGGGAAATTACGAATCGATCTATTGGTTGAATGTATTATACACCGAGTTTAAAATCATATAATTTGATAATAAATCACAGTTATACATTTCAGAATAACGTTAAATTTTCATCTGGAAATCTAATTTACGTTACTAATAATATATTTATTTTTTAAACTTTGTTTTGAACCGAAATTATCAACATTCATGATGTTTCTATCATTTTGATGTTTCGTTTGATCATACACACCCTCTGGTGGTAAGAAATGTCAATGTAAAAAAAATAAATAAATAAGCTGAAAAATTTTATCCGAATAATGATAATAGTATACATGGCATATTTTATTTATATGTTAAAAGTTTTCATGTAAAACAATAAAAAATGATTGTATATAATAATTATAATCGAATAATTACAATATAATTACAGTATATAATGACCGGCCGGATGGCCGAGTGGTCGAGTTAGTAGCCTACCGCTTTGGGGAACCCGAAATCGAAAATCGCCAGAAATTTTTTGGGGTGGTCCGTCCCTTACCATCCGGCCACCCCATTGTGGGCCTGGCCAAACCCATAATGTGCTTGCTAAAAAAGAGGCCCTCTTAGTGCCCATAGGAGGAAAAGAATTTTTTAAAAAAGTATATAATGCCCGTATGTATAGATATTGTATATTAAACCGTATAAAAGCATTATTTGAAATAATTTATTGATGTGAATTGACGTTATTTTGTGAGAAATGATTTTAAACGGTAACAAATGGCAAACTATCTGCAATTGTTTACTTTATATAAGAAAACTGTTAAATAATTATAATGGTATGAATCTTTTCACAGTTTTCAGTTTTGAATCTGAATATGATTATAATTGGAATCAAATGTTAAGAATTCATTTCATTTAGTCGCTTGAAATAATTTAATATTTAATCGATTGATTTTTCGTGTCAAGAAACATTTCCATCGAAAATGACATTTTACATTGACAATTTTATCAATTTTATAAGAAATTAATTTTATATATATCATTACTATTATATATATATTTCATTTAACATTCTTACTATCTTTAAAGGCTATCATATCAAGTTTTAAACTTCCGAAAAGAAAAAAAAAATTCAATAGACCTGTTCTTATTCTTCTGATGTAAGTTTATAAATTTTGTGTCCTTTATTCAACGATGATTAATTAAACTTACGAAAGCGTCTAGTGTATGGAATGTTGTTCAGTTGTTGTTGAAGTGTTGTTCTTTATACTGTTGTATGTAATCTTTATATATATGTTACCGCTAAAGCTCGGAAACTCGTTAATCTGCAGATTAGCTAGGTAATCTGCAGATTAACTAGCGTGATCCGTTAAAGTTGCTAAAATTGTTCTATTTCTCAAATTACCTAGGTAATGTGCAGATTATCTAGGTAATCTGCAAATTACCTACTAGGCACTCGGTAAAGTGAAAATAAGATCTTTGCTGAAACAACAGCAACGTTTCTGTACGCTTAAATTAACATAATGTTCTTTATTTAATTTTCGATATCTAAAGAATCAAGTTAATACAATCAAACAATCGACAAATTAGTTGATAGAATCAATCATCAACCAATTAAAAAACATACAAAAAATCAAACGATTTAAAATATTAATACAATTAGGGAAATTATTATATAGATAACCACCTATGGAATTTCGGGACTTTGAGTATCTATCTGAACTGAGGGGACCGAGACGACTTCAACGATACCCTACTTTTGGACCGGAGACGAAAAATAATAAAGTTATCATACTTTTTCTGGTGATCGCATGATATAATTGTGCAGTTAATGTTACCTATGGTGAGTAAAATGGCGGCTCGTCTCTGATTCCAGCAAACAGAAGAAAGGAAACAGTGGGGACGCACGTTCTGTCCTAACCTAACCTATTTTAATAAATTACCATAATTATTACCAACCAAATTATTAGAATAGGTTAGGTTAGGTTTGAACGTGCGTCCCCACTGTTTCCTTTCTTCTCTTTGCTGGAATCAGAGACGAGCCGCCATTTTACCCACCATAGGTAACATTATCCAATTGTGCAGTCTAAAGATTGGTGACACTTTGAATTTCATAGCAATTGGTTTCTGCGACAAGCACACCTATTTGTGGTACATTTATTTGTGGCAAAGATCTTACTTTCACTTTACCGAGTGCCTAATAGGTAATGTGCGGATTACCTAGATACTCTGCACATTATCTGCAGGTAATTTGAGAAATGGAACAATTTTCACAACTTTAACGGATCACGCTAGTTAAGCAGATTAGCTAGGTAATCTGCAGATTAACTAGCTAGATTAACTAGGGGATTAGCTAGGTAATCTGCAGATTAACGAGTTTCGAGCTTTAGCGGTAACATATATAAAATATTAATTTAAAACACCAATAATAAATTGTGTGCGTTAGAATACATTTAGTCATATATTATACTAAAAATAACATACTTATAATGATCAAATGAAGCCAATTTTTTTAATTAAAAAATAGTTTCTTTTGATGTTTTGATGATTGTGCTTGACGATAATTTCTAATCTATTCAACCTTTCCAACCTAAAAATATATTTCACGAGGGAGCAGGGTCATACATCTCTACCTAAACAAAGAGTGTAGGCTTATACGATACCTACAATAAACATATATATACAGTATATAATATTAAAGTAATATGTGTCGATGACTGAATATACGCAGAACATTTATATTTATTGTGAGAACAGAGAATAAATTTAAAATGTTAAAAACTCTCAGTCCTCGTACATAATTTTTAAAACGCATCTTCCTAAATTTATTTGAAAGCGAAAAATAATGAAAATTTTTAATTATGTTTTAAATACATTTTTTATATTGCATAATTTTATTGATTTCCTCTCAAACTTTCATCGGTCCCTAAGGGTCAATGTTGTTGTTGTTGTTGTTGGTTAAGTTATGGCAACGCAACATTTGGGCGATCTGCCTAGGGGAATGCCTTCCGGGAGGTCTTTTTAAGGAAAACTGGCTCCTATTTAGGCGTTACAGATGTGGAGAAAATCCGGAAAACTCCACGTGGCCAGCCCGTCCGAGCGAGGCGCAAACCCACGACCGAACTCCCAGTGTTCAGGGCACGAAGACCGCTTGGCACTGGTGGGCTTAGGGGTCAATGCCGACTCCGTTGGGAAACCATGTTCTAATGTAACTTGTTTTAATTATAGTACTGTAGATCAATATTTTAATTGAACAAATTTTCATATTTCCGTTTTAAAAAAGACATATGTAATTTATTAATCGGATCAATTTACGAGAATTAAATTTCTATAATTAAAACGATATTTAAAATGTTATAACCTGGGAATTTTCGAATGCGATCTGTCATGGATATATCGAACCCCGTCTCTAACTTAGCCAGCCCCATATGGGCATGATTAAAAGGTTTATAGGGAGAGAGATAAAAACAGAAATTAAAATTATTAGTATTATTAACTAGAATAAATTGATCATTTGTAAGCTTATAATAATAATTAACTTTTCCTTAATTCGATTTTATTATATTAAATAATATTTTCAAATTAATTTATTTTTATGCTCTATTAAACCTGTATACATATTCAACAATCCTTTAACATTTTAGCTTCTATTTCCTGTTTGAGTGTTGTTTATCTGGAAATGTTTTGCATCTTTCATTCTATTTAAGTGTATTGTATCTGTATATCTGTACTTATTACATAATATTTTTTACAATAGATTACGAAATGTTCAGCTATTTATTATTGTCCTGTCATTTATAAATTGAGACTGAATATAATTATTTAAAGTAAAGATAAAAACCGTTTTTCTTAGTAATCCGACTGGATTTAAAACAGCTTGAATTACAGATTTAACTCCTTCGACCTTTAATCACCATAATTTAATAGCATCAATTCCTCTAACACAAACCTCCCTGCAAAATTTCAGAAATTTTCGACAAAAAGCACGGGAGTTATTAAGCTTCAAACAGCGTAAAAAAAATCATGCTCCCCCACACACACTAACATCCATACATATAGAAATTATCCCTGAATTAAGTGAATTGTGTTGTTGAATTTCTCGACATTTCAAGGTCTCCTGAGTCCAAAAATGTAAAAATCTGGGGAGGTCATTTTTTGCCGGATCGCCATACTATAACAGTCGGGAAAGTAATAAGAAAATTAATTTAATAATATTATATTTAAATAATGAAGCTATGTATGAGGCCGTACAGATCTTGTATGGAGTGTCTTTTGCCACGTTATTTTTGAACAAATGAAATACGTAGAATATCTCTTTATCAATAAAAAGCAATCTTAAAGATTCTAATTTTTATTAGTGGAAATAACGTCGATTTTATCGAAGTAGGAACCACTACAAACCTCTAAGTTTTCGTCCCAAGTTCCCCCTCTCGACGATCCTGTCCATACTACTTTCTATTATTATAAAAAGTTTTGGATACTAGTAAATTGATTTAAACCACTCTTTCATAACTCTTACAGTTAAAGAATTTTAATTTAAAAATAAATTTATTATTTGATGTTTAAAAAAAATATTTTAAAAAACTGATCTGTTTTTAATTCAATTTTTTCTCCATCTTCAATAATATCTTACAGTTTTCATGCATAGATAACTGTGATGATTTCAAATAGGTCAACCATAATATAAATACTGTAGTATAATAGAATGTAATTATACTCTGAATGAAAATTTTCTATTTTATAAAAGAAAATTTAAAAAAAAAAACTTTTATTAATTTTTAAAATTTATTGTAAACATTATAGGACTATATAACAATGACAAAATGATGTAAAGAATTACTAAGATTCTTTTAATACTATTTAATATTATTGAATAGAATTACATAAAAATAAAATAAAAATTTTTATGTACCGTTCATGCATTTTCTTTGTTACTCTTTTAAAATAAAAATTTATAAACTTTTTTAAATCGGTATAATAAAAGTTTTGTGAATTTATATCGATTAAACCATTTTCAACTTGTCCTTCAAATAACTATGTCAAAACATTACATACAATACAAATCGCTGTTTAGCATATGATATTTTGTTATCCATAAATCGCTTTTAGTAAATTTTTAAGTAAAAAAATAAAAAAATTCCGAACTCCAGCGGCCAGTTTTTATTTCGATAACACCAAAATCATCTGTGAAAATATTTCATAAATTTTAATTAAAATTTTTCACTGTAAAAATACAAAACGTTTCTACCGATAATTTAATAATAGTTTTTCCCCATTCCTATCTATAAATTAATTAATAAATAGAAAAACTTTTCATTTTTTAATAAAATATATTTAAATATTAGTAAATCATATGATAAAAACGGCGAAATAAAGTCAAATTACAATTTTACAGTAGTAATTGATATTTTAATTGTTAAAAATCTATTTATTACTTATTTTGAACCTAATTAACATCGCCGGAATAGCTCAGTTGGGAGAGCGTTAGACTGAAGATCTAAAGGTCCCTGGTTCGATCCCGGGTTCCGGCAGTTCTGTTTTATTAAATTAAACATTTTATAAACTGATATTTTCGTTTAAAAATTATCACTCCAACATTAATATTTCCACTATTTTGTCTTTTAAAATATAACCACGTTGTTATTATAGAAGTAAGAAATAAACTTTAGGACAAAAAACTTTACTATGTTAATACGTGGGATGTTTCTTTTAAAGGAGAAAACGTACTGATTTTGACATCTTATATAGATAATGAACCAACTTTTTCACTGATACGATATTTAACATCAAACTGATTGTTATAAACGGCGCTTTTTTCATTTTTTGGGAAGTTTGCTTGTCTTGTAGCAATAGAAATTAGTATTTTAAAGTACAATTGTTTGATCTCCTATTGTAAATATTTTAATATACAGTATATTAATTTAATAATAAAAAAGAATAAAATTAATAAGAAATAATCGATTAATTATTCAACAATAATTAAATTATTGTAAGAATAATAACAATAATACATCGCTCAATCGAAGATGTCTTCGTGGTGGATAAGATCAAGATTTAAAGAAAGTATCTTAGAAAATACAATAAACGAAGAAATTTTAAACAAGAGAACAAAAATGAGAATGAAAATGAAAAAGGAAGAAAAGAAAAGGAGAGACGAAGAAAAAAAACTAGAAAAGGAAATTCGAAAAATGAGGGAGACAACTTACTCATCCTTTGGAATGGGTGATGATAAGATTGATGCTGCGTCTTTTAGAAGTATGCCATGTTCTACAGAACATGCTCTACATCTCGGAGAATCCTTTCAGGTATTAAAAATTACATTTTAAAATAAAATAGTATAAATTAAAACATATTATTTATTTATAAATTTATTTTATGTTTACAGCTTCAAAATCAATTTCGAAATTTTCATCGTTTAGTAGTAACTAAGCCACCATGTAGTGAAGAATCTCCATCAGATATCGTTTACCCAGTTGTATCTTCTGAAAATGGATACAAATGTGAGCATGTGAGTGATGATAGCGCAGAAGAAAGTAGGGGCGATGAAGATAGTTATGATGATAAAAAATTCAATAGATATTTCAAACAGATTTATGAAGTGAATGAATATGGAGAATTAAAAGAATCAGAATCAAGAGAATTCACAGTTGTTAAAGTTAATTTCATTAAAGTTTTCTAATTTTTCATCAACTATTAAATAAATTAATGTTTTATATATTAATAAATTGTTCTTAATAGGAACAAGATTCCATTCGTTCGGTTCAATCGGATAATCAGTCCATCATTTCCTGTATTAAAAGATTTACATTAGGAAATCGCCCAGAATTATCTCCACTTAATTCTCGTAACATTAATAACAATTGTATGGTTCCTGAAAAGAAAGTGAAAAAGAAAACTTATGGATGTGTATTGCTGTAATTTTTATTGGTTCATCATTTTCATTTGACACAAAATTCACTAAAAGTAAAATATCGTAATAACAATATGCAATAAATGATCTTTTTAACGAAAATATTTTCTTTAAACAATCGCTCTCGCCGACTTTCAAAATACTGTAAACCCTAATTAAGATAGATGTTTGTACTTGCATCTATAAAATATAACAGGAATATAACAGTTATCTTCAAAGTATATTTTAAAAAATTACTACAAATTTGCTTTTGATTCAATTATTTCATGCGATTATGTAGGACGTTTTTCATTTTCTCGTTTCTCGCTCTCGCTAAAGCTGCGTTTATGCAGATGCGAGAAATGCAAGAGTAGAGATAAAAACAGGAGGAGTGGAAAAACCAAGAGAACCAAAGACACGTGTTTACAGGAGTAGACTACTTCTCCTTGTTTTCCCTCTAGTTGCAACTGTTCTATTTATATACTGTATTCTTATAAATTTTGTGGAACTATTGATATAATTATTGTTCGGCTTGATAAATCTCAATGTAAAAAGTCCATAAAATCAGAAATTCAAGTTGTGCAAGAACTTGTATTCTAATCCATTGCGTAACACAGTTACGAAGTATTACAACACAAATGCGTAACCTTATCACTAAATAAACATTTCGTGTAAATATTCTTCTTATTTCTATTTGTGTAAAATAAATAATTGCTTTAGCCTAAATATATAATGCAAATAAAATCTTGCATATTTTGAAATTAGTAGGCGTATGATTATACAATTTATGGAACATTTACGATCAATTTTCTAATCGATCTCAAATGTTTCACAAACTGTAATCTTATGAAACAGAATTATTAGTACTGTATTATAAATCAGAATAAAATTATAAAACGATTACAAACAGTCATGATTCATGAAACTCTTTTCAAAGTAAAGGATTTGTTAACTTAAATACCTCGATGGTGGTTTAAAATATGTAATACGCCACGATCTGAAGACCTAACCAGCTAAGGCGTCAATCTATTGCTTTGGGGATCCGGAATAGAATCCTGGCAATCGAAAATCCTAGAAATTTTTCATGGGCGATCCATTCCACATATTTTGGGCCTCTAGGTTTTGTTATAATGTGCCTTCCAGGCCATTCGTTTCCACCCGATTGACCTATCCACAATGGGTATCGGAAAAAACAGGAGAACCCGCAGGCGGGAAGAGTAAAAAAAAAACTAACTTTTCAGATGTAGTAAATTTTTTCCCTTAGTTGTTGCGAAAAACAAAACAATGTATCTTATATAGTGTAGCCATTTCCAAATAAAAGAGGATATTGCACTAATAGATTATCATAGGCTACATATATACTGTATTATGTACTGCACAGTATATAGATGACGAGGAAAGCGTCCTAACTTATAAAGACTTTATAAGACCCCTAAACAACCCTTATAAATTTTTTAAACTCCTCGTCTTCGTCAAGTTATTCGGATATTCCAGAAAATAATGTGAATGAATAGTTTTTTGAGATATTACATAAATTATTTTGGAAGATCCCAAATAAGAAGACAAGTTAACATCCGGCTCGAGGTACTTCCGGAGGGAGGACAGTGCTTAAAAATCGAACTGTATAGCTAGAACTGGACGTCTGGTCAGTCATATTTTATATTAATATATTTGCTGCAAATTCAGAAAAATCTTTTATAAGATATTCATTAAAAAAACGTGTCAAATTTAAAAAAAAAACTAAGAAATTCAACAAGAAGGATATCACTTGGATCATGACAAAGACTCTAATAAATACAACCAAATACTTAAGTTTGTTGGCATGGAACAAACTTAACAATTGGGCTACAGCTTGAAAAAATTGTAGACCTATAAATTTTTACAGTCGTCTGTCCATCCGTTTGTCTGTCTTTCCTTAATCTCGAGAATGGAGTTAGATAGATGAAAAACAAAACCAGATTTGGACACCTTAGAGGCAGGAAGCCCCGATTAACTATATACGAACTTTCCACATAAACTAAAAATAACGTTATTTCAGTTCAAACATTTTTCCTCTAAAGGTGTTAGATAGATACTAGCACGATTGTATTGTTAAAGGAAAAGTATGATGTACAGGGGCAAGTTACTAGTAATAATTTGAGGTGGAGAGAATATATTTTAAATTAAATAAAATAAAAATATTAAAATAAAACAACATTTATTTAAAATACGGAGAATTTCATATTTTCCTTATACAAACAAACATAAATCGATTTATAATCGATAGAAACTCGACAATATTTTGCTACTTCTTTAACAATTAAATAGCGCACAAACTTTGGAAAATCTTAATTTAGATAGTAATTCTAGCAATTTCGTTTCGTAAGCGTCTTTACGATCATACGTTACTTTTATTTTTATTTGACTGTGAACCTATTTATCAAAAGTCATTGACTTTTGACTCCGTTAATAAACAAACAAACGTTCTCAGTAACCATTCTGACATTATTGCATTCACCTTCCGCTAGATGGCGTATCGATTGAAGGCTCGGTGAAGATGTTTGGTTCTTGACGGCTGCGGGAAAATGAATTGGTTGCTGTTGTCGGGTATTTTTTTATGCTTTTCTTGTGTTTTTTCCTTCTATTCGTTCCCCCTCATCGATCCCATGTCGTGCAAAGATACAGAATATTACAATACTATTCGCTTGAACTGTATCGAGTGTGGAACCCGCGAGCAAAGTAAATACCAGCAAAAATCGGAAGATGGTGAGTTTTTACTGCAAAAATCTTTATATAATTTGCATCCTTAAACACAAAATACATTTGAGCACCTCTCTGATTGATTGTTAAAGCATTACAGTTGATTTATCAAAATTTGGGGATTGGATACAATATTTTGTATATTTAAACACCAGTCTCTGATATTATTTGAATCGATTGATTTTATTTTATGTAATTTCTAAGTTTTTATTGCATTTTCTTTTCTCTGCACGGTTGTTTGTGTGAAGACACCTTAGAAATTCGTCCTGAGATGATTGTCTGATAAGGACAGGTTTTTGGCAGCAGACACCATTTAATTTAGCCAGGTTTTCTAGACGTAATCTAATTGCTACCACGGTTGATGAATTGGCATTGTTATCGGTTGTTTCCGGGCAAATTTGGATTTGATCCCAAACTTTGCATTTAAAGTTTTAATTTTTCTAAGAAAAATCTATTGTAACATCTAGGAAATGGTATAAATAGTCCGCAATGATCCTCCGGATAAAAAGTGATTTTTCAAATTTATTACATTCCTTTGATTTACATTCCTTTGAAAAAAAAAGTGTGACAAATTTGGGAATTATTTTGTATTTGGATGATGGTTTCAATGCAATAATGAATTTATAATTAATTTGAAGTCTATGTGAGATGAAGCAAGTTTTTTTTTTTTTATCCGCTGGGCAGGATGTTCAGATATTTAGAAAATCCTAAATGCATAAAACATATAATGCATGACGTATAAAAGAACAATGAATTCTTCTTTCTTTATTCAGACTAATGTGATTTATTGCTTATATCAAATAGTGTATCTTTTTGGTACAAAGAACACAATAGATGCTTGACAGACCGACTGTAAAAATGGAACATATTAATCTGGGTTGTCGTCATATGTCTTTTAACATAATATAAACAGTACACAAATAGAATATAGGTACCATTATTCAGTTATCCTGTTGAATATATGATTAATATTCTGATAGTTTTGAATAGATAAAAATATATTTTATCTTTTAATATTTTTGCAGGAAAGATTTTTAATCACACAATTCAACCAAATGTTTTGTACAAGCAGAAAGCTAAAACAAAAATTGAATTTATTTAAATGCTTTCATGTTGGTGCCATTCTCTTTAGAAGAAAATACCTAAAGATGGATGATGATATAGCAGAATCTTGATTATTAGAGATAAAGTGAAATGATACTATCTTGGATAACTGAAAACTCAGCTAAAACAGCTATTGCTATTTTGGATTAAAAATTAAGAATAGAAAATATTTATATGGTAGCACTTTTAAGCTTCTTTTTATACCCTAGTGAATTTAATCATATATAAGAGCAACATTTTCTATATCATTTATTATACTGCTAATACATAAGATAATTTTAAGAATAAAGATGTGTATTATTGTAATTACAGTTTAATATGTATGATTTATCTTACATTGAAGTTAAATGATAAAAGGTAACAAGAACAAATCACTTTGTAATTAAACTTTCTTTTATGAATTACAGTATAAGAAAAATAATGTATTCACTTACAGATTTTTTGTTAATCAGAGNATCAATCATCAACCAATTAAAAAACATACAAAAAATCAAACGATTTAAAATATTAATACAATTAGGGAAATTATTATATAGATAACCACCTATGGAATTTCGGGACTTTGAATATCTATCTGAACTCTAACCTAATCTATTTTAATAAATTACCATAATTATTACCAACCAAATTATTAGAATAGGTTAGGTTAGGTTTGAACGTGCGTCCCCACTGTTTCCTTTTTTCTCTTTGCTGGAATCAGAGACGAGCCGCCATTTTACCCACCATAGGTAACATTATCCAATTGTGCAGTCTAAAGATTGGTGACACTTTGAATTTCATAGCAATTGGTTTCTGCGACAAGCACACCTATTTGTGGTACATTTATTTGTGGCAAAGATCTTACTTTCACTTTACCGAGTGCCTAATAGGTAATGTGCGGATTACCTAGATACTCTGCACATTATCTGCAGGTAATTTGAGAAATGGAACAATTTTCACAACTTTAACGGATCACGCTAGTTAAGCAGATTAGCTAGGTAATCTGCAGATTAACTAGCTAGATTAACTAGGGGATTAGCTAGGTAATCTGCAGATTAACGAGTTTCGCGCTTTAGCGGTAACATATATAAAATATTAATTTAAAACACCAATAATAAATTGTGTGCGTTAGAATACATTTAGTCATATATTATACTAAAAATAACATACTTATAATGATCAAATGAAGCCAATTTTTTTAATTAAAAAATAGTTTCTTTTGATGTTTTGATGATTGTGCTTGACGATAATTTCTAATCTATTCAACCTTTCCAACCTAAAAATATATTTCACGAGGGAGCAGGGTCATACATCTCTACCTAAACAAAGAGTGTAGGCTTATACGATACTTACAATAAACATATATATACAGTATATAATATGAAAGTAACATGTGTCGATGACTGAATATACGCAGAACATTTATATTTATTGTGAGAACAGAGAATAAATTTAAAATGTTAAAAACTCTCAGTCCTCGTACATAATTTTTAAAACGCATCTTCCTAAATTTATTTGAAAGCGAAAAATAATGAAAATTTTTAATTATGTTTTAAATACATTTTTTATATTGCATAATTTTATTGATTTCCTCTCAAACTTTCATCGGTCCCTAAGGGTCAATGTTGTTGTTGTTGTTGTTGGTTAAGTTATGGCAACGCAACATTTGGGCGATCTGCCTAGGGGAATGCCTTCCGGGAGGTCTTTTTAAGGAAAACTGGCTCCTATTTAGGCGTTACAGATGTGGAGAAAATCCGGAAAACTCCACGTGGCCAGCCCGTCCGAGCGAGGCGCAAACCCACGACCGAACTCCCA